CTACATGAGATACTACAAGCATGTTGGGGACCATACAATTCTGGGCACACTCAACTTGTGTAGTGTGCACCGGTTTAAATAGTTACTGTCAGGCCCCGTGTTGAACACAACTGGCTTTGTTCAACTCCCTTTAGAATGTGGGCAGGAGTTTGTCAATTAAGCAAGACTGTCTCATGGGAGAGGAGCACAATGTGAAGAGAAGCCTGATGTCTGTTGAATAATTAAACAGCCTGTGCCCATACCGCTGTGGCATACAGAGGAAATCTCAGTGCTTCGGATGTGGTGGTTCTGCTCAACAGGCCTCAGTCCTTATGGAACCTCTGCTTTAGCATGAAGTGAGGGAGGAGTGGTGAAGAGAAATATGCTGTTAGCAGAGTAGACTAATAGCAATATCACAGTGTCGACTCACCATTGCGCACCTCCTGCTGGTTGCTCTGAGAAATCAGCTTTCATCAAGAGGGCATCGCCTCCTGGCTAGCGTCTCCCTCATCCGCACTCACGTTCTGGACCTGCGTCGCTCCCACTCTGTGGCTTGCTCTTTGGGACACTGTCCTGCAGCAGCACCCCTTGCAATAGTCTTTCAGGGGGTGAGGTTATCAGCAGCTCTTCATCTAGTATCTGCCACCATGGCCAACTGCAGCCTTAGTCTAGCCCTCGCTTCAGGGGCAAGCCAAAATCCTTCCAGGCCTCACAATAGTGGTGGCAGCTGTCTACACTGGTGCGATCTTGCACCAGAGATGTACAAATAAGGCTAAGCATGGAATATTGCTGAGCCTCATTTGCATATCTAATGAGCTGCCATTTTTTTTTGCAGAAGAGGCTCTTGTGCCAGAAGGAGCAGTCTACACTGCCCCTTCTTGCGCAAGAAAAATCCTCTTGTGCAATGCCGTTATTCCTGAAACTAATCAGCATTGCATAAGAGGGTTTTCTTGCACAAGAAGGGGCAGTGTAGACTGCTCCTTCTGGCACAAGAGCCTCTTCTGCAAAAAAAAATGGCAGCTCATTAGATATGCAAATGAGGCTCAGCAATATTCCATGCTTAGCCTCATTTGCATATCTCTGGCACAAGATTGCACCAGTGTGAGGGGACCTCAGGCCCGCATACTACTCTGGGTCCTGACCCAGGGACCCTCTGGCAGCAGCCTTGTCCTGCCCTTCTCTACTCCCCTTTCCTGTCTCTTATTTCCTGAACTATTTCCTCTATGACTCTTTACACCCTCCTGGCCCTTGTGGCAAGACCAGCAGCCTGGCAAGCATCAGGCAGGAGCCTCCACCTCTAGCCCCCTGAGCCTGCCCAGCATTGCTCTCCTGAAGGTGCTTCTCCAGGAACCAGACCCAGCACCTTTCTTGGTCAGGGCCTGCCTAACCACTCTCTGCTGAGTAGGTTCTTTTATACAGGGCTGTCACAGAAAGCTGCACCCTGAATGGCTACTTAAAAGCCTCTCCCTCATTGGCCAGGGCTCTGTGCAGGCTCCCTCCAGCCTGTATTTATCCCTTTCCACACGGGGGGACAGTTGCCCCACCACAAGCATGTAAAACCAAGCCCCTGTTTATTGAGGGACATTTAAAAAGATGCCCATGGCACTACTGCAAGGGAAAGACTGTTACTTGATATCCTGGCTGAATCAGTTTACATAAAATACTCTCCCTAGTTTCACAAACGCAATTGCATTTCTTCTCCAGCGGTGGCTGCATTTCAGAGGAGAGGGAGATGATCTAATAGCTTTAAAGCAATGTTTTTCCAAGTTGTCCGCAGATCCACTCTGTGAAAGCTGCTTCCTGGCCTCTCCTGTTTGTGTATTTACTGGATCTGCAGCTACGGAGCTTCGTGGTTGCCATTGACTGCGGTTTGCCATTTGTAGCCCAGAGGAGCTGCGGGACGCAGTGTGGACTGTGCTGCTTCTTCCTGCAGCTCCCCTAGGCTGCAAATGGCAAACCGCAGCCAATGGGAGCCACAAGGCTCCGTGGCTGCGGAGCTGGTAAATCAGGGATGGGCAATAATTTTTGGTGGGGGCCACACTTTTCTGTGGAGGACATGTGGGGTCTTGGATAGAGGTTGAATGCAGAAGGGCGCATGGGGTAAGGAACCGGGGTGCAGGAGAGAGTGTGGGGTTTGAGAGGGACTTTGGGTGAAAGAGGGGGTTGTGATCTAGGTCAGAGAACTGCGGTGTAGAGTCAGGGAGGGAGTGTGGGTGCAGGAAAAGATTCTGGCCTGGGTAAAGGAGGGGGTACAGCAGTAATCTTCAACCTTCTTAACCACAAGATCACTTTCTCAATTTGTGCAATCTAAGATCTACCTCAAACCCAAACACCCTTACTCCACTTCCTTCCCACCCTTTTGAGGCTTGACTCCTGCTCCACCCCTTTTCCGAGGCTTCCCCCGTTCACTCCATCCCCCATCCTCACTCACTTTCACTAGGCTGGGGTAGGGAATAGGGGATGCAGGCTCTGGTCTTGGGCCAAGAGGTTTGAAGAGTGTGAGGGACTCTGGACTTAGCCAAGGGTTGGGGATTAGGGTCCAGGAGGGGGTTCTGGCCAAAGTCCCCAGCTGACTCCAGCTCGGTGCAGCACTGCCTCTTGGAAACGCTGCTGCCATGGCATTTCAAAAAGGGGTTGGGTTCTGGAGTGGCTTTGGGGATAGGACATTTGCCTGGGTAGTACAGGGTGCTGGGTTCAAGTCTAGCTCTCTCTGGGAGTAGCTGGACCACTAGCACAGGCTGATTCCCATATTAGGAAGGCAAGATAAGGGACCTGCTGAAGGTAGGGAGGTGGAGTATGAACTCCAGGATAGGGCATCAGCCTCTGGAGCACAGGGTGATGGGCTGGGATCCACCCACCCAGACAGCAGCCTTTCAAAGGGGCAGAATTGTGGGAGCCTGGGATTAGCTGCTGACCCCAGCTCCGTGCAGTGTTGCCCCTTGGAAATGCTGCTGCCACAGTGTTTCAAAGAGGCAGCAGTAGCACTAGGGGAGCCCAGGATCAGCTGCAGTCCACAGTGAGCTGCCATTTTGAAATGCAGTTGCAACGTTTCAAAGGGGCAGTGCCACGGAAGCACCTGTGATTAACACATTAATTGTACTCTGTGATAATTGCAGGCGTTAACACATGTTAATTGATAGCTCTAGTTCTAATACTACAAGGAATCCAGTGGCACTTTAAAGACTAATATAATTATGCCATCATAAAATTGTTACTTTTTAAGGTGCCACCAAACTCGCTGTTGTTTTTTGCTGAAACAGACTAACCTGGCTACGTCTGAAGCCTGTTCTACTATTGCAGCTCAGTCCTGCACAGTAGTTATAAAATGCAACATGAAGAATCTTTTCTAATGGCAACCATAGCATTTTACAACATGGCAGAATGTGATAACGAGAACGTAACCCTGGTGTCCTGCAACACTATCTTGTGGGAAATGGGTATTGTTTATAAGGCTCATAGATTGCTTTCAGCCTTTGCATTTATTTAGCTCTGTTTATCCAAATCATTACTAACAGTCACTTCCTCATCACTTGCGTGTTAGGAATGCATTACACAATACATGGTAAAAGAGAAATATAAAAAGAGGTACATGAATTTACAATGGGAGGAACATAGTTACACTTTAACTTTAGCAGACTTTCTTAAACCCATTCACTGAAGGTCAAAAGCCTGCATATAAATGGCTCCCTGGGAAGACTGGCTCATAAAAATCAAAGTTTAAATGCGGGAAGGAACGGGGGAATGTTTATTGCATTCAGCATCCTCACTGACTTCCTAAATAGTGCCCTTTAATTAGTCGGTAAATAATGTTCTGGAAGGAAACCTGCTTTTAGCTCTACAGCTTTCCCTGGGACACTATAGCCTTTGTCTAAAGGGCTGAGTTAAATTTTTAAAACATCTGCCTAGGTAAGAATGATCTTGGCAGTTTTGTGCAAGTGTACAGCAGATCCACTGATTTTCTCATTGCTACACTGAAGTACATGCAGAAACAGTGGGGTGAGCTGTAATAGCAACTCTAGCACTACTCTATTGCTAATGCTAACCTTGCTATAGTCCCCCCAATTCCATATATTTTTAAAATTGCTTCCTTTTCATGCTGTCCCTACATCCTGCAAAACAAACTCTTCTCTGCCAAAGCTACATTTCAGATCTTTTTCCCCCTAAAAATATTTAAAAATGGCTTTAAAGTCACTTTATATATTATCACTTGAGTTTCATTTACAGCCCCCAAATGAAAACTTAGCTGTCTGAATCGGAAAAGCAGTCTGCATCTAATTACAGCAATAGAGGGGGCAAAGTGACTTTTTGTTGCTCGGAGATCATGTGTGCAGCTAGAATACCAGCTAGTAATGGTGCATAGGGAGAAACAAAACTGTGGCCAAGGCAACACTCTGAACTGGCTTTGCTCTCTCTCTGGATTGAGGCATTTTTCCTGAATCATTAACCATGTTCATAATTGGGTGTCATCCAATATATGAGTTATGCTGTGGTGGAGTCCTGATAGCTCATAACAAGGCCTTGTTTTCCTGATGAATCAGAGTAATTCAGGTATCAAGTTCCCTCCTCAAAACCAGAACATCTCTGAAACCATGTCTACAGGAAAATTTAACTAAATATGCCAGATTAGCTTCAGATTAGGCTAACAGCAACTATTAAATGGGGAACTATGAAAAGGTACAGAATTTAGATGTTATCACTGAAAAGACTTGATTTCTGCATTTTTTTGTTTTTTTGTTTCTACTTTAAAGAGGTCTGTAGCTGGAATATTTCAGCTATAGCTATAAAGTGGACTGAGTGTTTATTAAAGAGGAAAATAACTAGTTCATTTTTCAGCTAGAAATATTTGAAAATGCTCTAGCATTCAGAGTCGTACATCACATTTTGATATGGAATGCTCTTTACTGAAAGACAATGGCGTTGATCTTAAAGTTACATTGGGCACGTAAGGCACAATCTAAGTTAGATACAGAAGAATCCCTAACAATGCAATGCTGATTACATAGGTCTCTTGTTCTTTTCAGGTGAAGAAGATAGCAGCAGAATATTATGACAACCTCCCTCAGCACCAGTCTTGGGTTCGAGTTCTCTGGGATTTTATTTTTGATGACACCATTGGTCCTTATTCACGGATTAAGAGAATATGCAAACTAGCACCCGAAAACCAATAGATTTGCTTTAGCATCTTCATTAATAATGTAAAAAAAAAATCTATTTTTTTGTGAACTGAATTTTCAGAGATAAGAATGATCTTAATATTTCTATGCACTTACCTTTTCTGTAGTACCAAGAGTGGTGAAATATTAAAGCAAACCATAGGCACTGTTTTAAAATACTGTAACTTTTATTCAAAGGCTTTTTTCTTATATAACGTTGTTCTTGGGCAGGCTATCATACATGTATATTTACAGTGAAAGCTTCCTATCTGAACCATCCTCTCTCGCTTGGTGAAACTGTTACATTTTAAATCCAAATTCAACTCCCTCCCACTCTCGTCAGGGCAACGCATGGCTGCAGTGAGATTCACCTTGGGCCCATGCTATAGAGCAAAATGGTTCTAATCATGGGAGGAATGGAGAAAACTTACTTCAAACAGGTGGTTGGTTGGCTTGCCCGTGCAGGTCAATGCAAGCAGGAGGCAGCCTGCATTCAAGAGCAAATTAGACCCTCGGCTTCCTTGTCTAAAGGAGGGCTATGGCTGTATTGTACAAGCGTCTTCAACATTACAGTCGGTGTGCTACAGCTTAGTTCTGAGCATTGCATCAGGATCAATGGCTGCTTCAGTATTTCTACAGCCTCATGTGGGCTGAGGAAGGCAGGGGCAGGGATTGGGTAGGAAAACCTATGGAATCCTCCTGTTGTGAGCAACGCTGCTAGGATTGTCTCCTCTAGGGACTTTCTGCTCTGGAAAGTGAGTGTAAAAATGAACATGGAACTTCATTTCCCATTCATGCCAGATCAATTTTCCACCTTGATGGAAAATTGCTTAATAATTGGCCATGCAAACTCCCCTTGAGACATTAGAACTGGGGCTGCTGAACAGGGATCAGAATGAAACCTAGCTCATTCATTCTCTGTTAGCTCTACAGAGCTAACCTCCTGTTGGTAATGTTTGCAAGCATGACTCCATATATACAGGGTATCTATTGAATAAGTGTCATTTATAAGGGTACGTCTAAACTACATGGCTCCGTCAACGGAGCCATGTAGATTTGTTGTTTTGGCAAAGTCAAATGAAGCCGCGATTTAAATGATCGCGGCTTCATTTAAATTTACATGGCTGCCGCGCTGAGCCGACAAACAGCTGATTGGCTGTTTGTCCGCTCAGCGCGCTAGCAGGGAGCGTCCAGACTAGCGCGCTGAGCGGACAAACAGCCGATCAGCTGTTTGTCGGCTCAGCGCGGCAGCCATGTAAATTTAAATGAAGCTGCAATCATTTAAATCGCAGCTTCATTTGCCTTTGCCTATGTGTCTAATCTACATGCCTCTGCCGACAGAGGCATGTAGTCTAGACACAGCCTAAGTGAGAGCAGAACCATGTTCCAGCAGCTACAGGCTTTCCAGAGATAATGTACAGTAATTAGAAATAACCCCCATAAACTCCAATTCTCTTTGAGGTGCAAATGAAGAAAAAGAGTTTCTGAATTAACACTTACTATCTTACAGGAAAACTGCACTTAAATTAAAATGAAAAGAATTCAGCACTATCAGACTAGCTAAAGTCTAAGCACTAATATTACCTTAGGCTACGTCTATACTGGCAGCTTTTTGTGCAAGAACTGTTTTGCGGAAGAGTTCTTGAGCAAAAAGTCTTCCACAAGAGCGCGTCTACACTGGCATGTGTTTTTGCGCAAGAGCGTCTATGGCAGTGTAGATGCTCTCTTGTGCAAGAAAGCTCAGATGGCCAATTTAGCCATAGGGGTTTCTTGAGCAAGAAATTCATGTTGCCTGTCCACACTGCCCTCTTGCGCAAGAGGGCTTATTCCGCGTGGGGGAGGAATAACTGCCAGAAGAAAGCCCTGTTTTTCGACGCTGTACTGTAAATTTACTTGCACAAGAATGCGTGTGCAGTGTAGACACCCGACAAGTTTTTGCGCAAGAACAGCTGTTCTTGCACAAGAAGCTGCCAGTGGAGATGTAACCTTACTGTGCAACATTTGTGCAGAAAAAACATTGTGCATAAATGTTTAAACTTCTGCTATTGCTAAACATACCCGTCCTTCCATTGTGGGTTCAATCTATGGTATATAAGCCAACCCAAAAGATTTCTCAACCCTGCCTGAGAGACTTAATAACTGCATCTCTAAGGCTAGGTCTAGACTTCAGTCATTTGTCGGAAAAAGCAAAGCAAATTGCTTTGCTTTTTCCGATAGCTTTTCTGGAAGCGATGAGGCCAAATGGTGGAAAAGCCTCCTCTTTTGGAGGAGCCTTTATTCTTCATAGAATAAGGTATACAGGACTCCCCAAAAGAGTGTGTTTGCTTTTTTACAAAAAAAAAAGGCGGAAGAGCAAATCCGTTCTCTGGACGCGGCGTTTTTCCAGGATACCTCTAGTATCCCAGAAAAACACACCAGTCTAGACGTACCCTAAGTAATCTTGTAACTTTAAAAGGCAACTTTACCCTCTCCTAACTTCCTGGTTGTCTTTGATTACTATTGATCAAGTTGTCCTTTGTTATACTAGCTGTTGGCCTAATTATTTGTCTCAATGCTGCCAGTCTAACTAAAATATTCTTCATCCTTGGGACCATCTGACTAGACGTCACTGATGAAATAAGGGTATGTCTACACTACCCTCCTAGTTCGAACTAGCGGGGTAATGTAGGCATACCGCACTTGCAAATGAAGCCCGGGATTTGAATTTCCCGGGCTTCATTTGCATAAGCGGGGCGCCACCATTTTTAAAACCCCGCTTGTTCAAACCCCGTGCAGCGCGGCTACATGGGGCACGAACTAGGTAGTTCGAACTAGGCTTCCTAGTTCGAACTACTGTTACTCCTCGTGGCAGGTTGGCACTTCAACCCAGACAAATAAAGGTAAACAAAAGTGGGCCCAAGCTATCACAGAACTATGAACTCACAAATCCTCTTCTGTGTTCAATGAGATTTATTCCCATATGTAAATTCCAGTGTGCATGCAATTAAGCCAAGAAGCGTTGTACGTGTAATGTGCACATGCGTGTGTGTGTGTGTGTGTGTGTGTGTTGTAAAAACCATTCTCTTTAATTAAGAATTAAACTTGGCATCATATTTTGCACATGGGCAACTAAGGTTTTACATTAGTATTAATTAAAGAAACTAGTTATAATAATCATTTATCAGAGGGATCTACAGGCAAAAGAATAAATCTGTTCGCAGCAAAGCAAGTGAACCGGATTCTTTTTAGGGTTGCACTCAGCTGGAAAAAAGGAAGTTTCATTTGGTAGTTTTCAGGCAAAAGGGACCAACCTCAGTCCTGGGTAAGAAAGTGCCCCAGAAACTCCCCCAGAACTG